AGCTGAGACAAGTGGCTCTGGGGAAAGGAAGAAGGCACAATTCAGAGAGGTGGTGTGAGACAGGCAGCAAGTTCTTGAGCAGGACGAGGGTGATCAGAGGACAAGTTTGAGCACCAAGTGTGGAGAACAGAGCCAGGGCCCCAGCACCTTACACTGTTCCTGGCACAAAGTCACTGCTTTGCACGTGGGCAGAGACTGGTCACGTTCTTAAACACGGGCTTCAAGCATCTCAGTGCATGCAGCTCTGGCGCCTGGGGGACTGTCTTGTGCACTCTTTCTGAGACTGACCCTCCAGGGAAATTTGCCCTGACTGGAAAGGACCAGGAGGAGGAGGAAGAACAAGAGCTGCAATGCAGGCAGACATGGTCTCACCCTGGCAGGAATGCCGAGTGAAAATTCTGGGGTTAGGAAACCAGAGTGGAGGAGTTGTCCGGTTCCTCCCAGGCGCCTTGTTCTGTCAGGCCTTCACAAGGGACGAGCCTATCATCTCAGAGCCTGGAAGAGCTCTAGGTGCAGGCCAGAGGGGCTCCCGGCCCGTTGTACACAGAGGCCTTTAAAACAGCTTGGATTTATTGCGGCTCTTAAGTGGCCCAGGCTAATGGCTTGGCATGGATCATGTCATGGTTTAATTGGTGATCGTGAAAGCTGCTGGTTTGTGGAATCCCTTGTCTCTGCCGTTCGAGCAATCCCTCACAGATTCCCTGAATCAATACAGCCCTCACTCAGGGCCATGGAGGAGCCTGTGCTGGGACAGCCCCTGGGCTGGGGAAGTAGCCATCTCCCAGGATTGCTCAGATCCCCACGGGCACCAGGCTCTGTGGGGGCTTTCTCCTGGTGACATTACAACTGGGGTTCTTGTGTGTATTTCAGATGGGCTACAGATACTTCTGTTGATAACCAACCCTTGAGAGAATCTTTTCAAGGTTAACTCAGAGGGGTGGAAATGGAGCTGACAAGGAAGTCAGAAAGTGACCCCTTCTGTAGAGGCAGAACAAGCGCCTCAGAGCGCCAGGTGGAATCAATCACCTGAAGCCAAACAAGAGGCTGAGGTGGGGGTGCTGCCAGGAGGGAGGAGCAACCTTTGCAAAGGAAGGTGACATTTATATTTCTGAGATCAAATAGCCTAGATGATCCTCATTCCTATTATGGCATTTATTTTTTCCCAAGGTCACGATATTTTTCTTAAGTCTTCCTAAATCTTTTGACCTTAAATATATTTTGTTTCTATTCTCTTTTAAGATGTGTGAAATAGCCTAATGGTTGGGATCCAAAAGCAGCCTGTCAGGAAGCTGTCTTAGAGCTGAGCACACGATGTTGGGATTGCGTGTGTTTATGTCGGTCTTGCTGCTGTGGTCCATGGGCAGCTGGAAGCAAATACAGGAACTTGTCTGTGTGTCCCAGAGCCTGCCATGGTTCCTGGCAGAGCACGTGTGCTTCATTGATGTTGAATGAATGCTCCTAGGGAGATTAAGGAGAGAAAAGCGTTTAACTGTGACACTATGTCTTATCGATTCACACTTCTGTTATTTTTTTGTTCTCTTATCTGTATCATATGTATAATAAGCAATATGATGGCATGCACCAGGAATTTAAAAATCAAGCTTTTTAAAATGTAAGTTACAGTATTTTTTAAGTGGGATCGGCTGTAAAACATCTGAAATGATAATACTTCAACCATAACAATATGGAATAAAAGCCTGATTAGCCTGTCAAATGGGCTTCCTTCCTCTGTCTTCTGACACAAAATTTATACATGGGGTTTGCTGGATCTGGCAAGTCATCTTCAACTCACGTGTAGTTTTAGGTGACTTTAGTTGTCAAGGAGTTGTTTGGTTTATTGATTGCAATATCTTTAATTTGCACTGTAATGTTTTTAATTTGTGCTTTGGTTATTGTCTTCTCCTTTATTTTGTTGTTTCTTTTAAGTTGAATATTTTATTTTGAGTGAGGTGATACCAGTTGCTACTTTTGAGGAAAACAAAACAAAATGTTAAATTTAAGTTTGGTAAGGATCGTTCTTACTGAGTCATTTTACTCTTGGGCTGACGTCTCCCAAAGGGACTAGTGAAAGGATAGCTGCGCAAGCCAGCAGTCTCCAAAATGGGGTTCATATATCCCAGGCCCAATGGAACTATGGGGCCAAAAAAGACAACGTGAATTCTTCTGTGTTTGTCTTAGCTCATATTTTCAACCTTGTATTTTATAATGTAATATATTACTATACTGATGTATTAATATAGGTATATAATTTATAAAGAAACATTCAAAATGCATGCTTCATTTTTGACCGATGGGCATATGCAATCACATATGTTTAGAGACCTCTGCTCTAAGTATGGATGCATCCTGATGGGCAGTTTATCTTTCACCAGGGTTCATGTCCAATCGAAGGGGAGAAAAAAGTCAGGTTTCTCCCAGCTCTGTGCATTCCGGCAACTTTGTGTCATTCTGGTTAGTGGAGCGAGGGAGCACTGAGGCATATGGAGAGTATGCATTCTCTGGCCCAGCTGTCTAACATGGCACTTTACTTAGGACTTTCTCTCAAAAAAAGAGGCTCAAGCCAGCCTAGTTTCTTTCCCCACTAGGAAGAACTCTTTACCATCACTTGAAGTCAATGACAAAGCCAAGGACTGAGCCTTATTCTTGGGCTGTCTCCAAACCCAGACTTCATGCTCAACATACGGTATTAGATTTCTTTACTTCAAGGTCATGGCCAATAGGCAATTTAGGCTTTTTTCAATGATCCTCCCTGCCAAGAAAACTGACAATGCTCTCCATATCCTCTGGCAATCCATGTTGATTGTAGGAATGGGGTGTGGATTATACATTGTTGGGTACAATTACCTCCCGGAATGCAATGCATCTTCTTTCAGACATCCCAGGCAGATAATTGGGACATAATGAAGATCTATAGTAATCAGATAATTACTATCGATTGCTCTTTAGACGTCTTGATGAGGTAATTAGGGTATCCTGGAAAGAAGCTAGAACTGATTGATTGGCATGGCTGTAATCTCCGAGATTTCTAATTGTGTTTCTTTTCTTCTAATGGCCTATAAACAAACATCATTTTAGCTTTAGAATTTGTCAGGTGGCAGGTTCACGGGGGAACATCAGCTTTCTCTATTATGCTAACTAGACACTGAACATGAACATGATCAACATAAGCTCATTATGCCTTCCTGTTGAAGCAGAAAAAACTGCAGTTAACCCTCGCCTTTCTTATTCATCTTCACTTCCACATGGCCAAGTTCTTCTCCAGGAGTGGAGTGTGAAGTGTTTTGGGAGGGCCTTCCATGAGGAGCATGTGTGACTCTGGGCTAGGTGGATCTGCATGGCCTGCTGGGCACCCTCAGAGCCTGCTGAGCCATAGGCACAGCAGAGCCAGGACACAATGACACAGCCTATGTGTCCAGGTGGCCAACTGACTGGGTGGGGGCTGGCTGACTGCTCAGGCTCCTGTCACATGCAATAGCTACTCATCAGCCTGCAGCAATGTTGAATACTCTCAATGTCAATATTCTCAAACAGCTGGACCATGCCCATGTCTCCATCAATGTGCTATTGCCTCATCTCTTCCATTAGACACTAATTAGAGGAGTGCCTGTCCGAGACCACATTCCATATTATCCTAATATTTTCTACACCTTATAGGACCTTTCAGCAGATTGCATTGTTCAGGATAGTGGCCTGAGTCAGAGATGATGGATGTTGACAACCACTAAAGCAGCAGCTTAAAATGAGCTGTTTACATCTAATCAATGATGTTGGTGAGCTCTGCACTTACTGAGCTACAGTCTGGTTCCCATACTCACAATTTTCCACTGTGACCCATCAGTACCTGGTACCCTGGTAGTTGCCCGATATAGGTATATGGAGTGACCTGAATGGTTGCCTGTGTTATTGAACCCCATGCTTTCAACTGAAATGTCACTAAAGAAGAAAGTTGTATTTTTCTTTTATATTTTTATAAAATCCATTATTTTCTTGAACCCCCTATAAGAAAAGAAAGGTCATAAATTGCCAGCATATTTGTATCACGGAAACTTTTAAAGCCTGAGAGCAGCCATGTGTGCACAGAGACGGTTCAGACAGCAAAGGAGACCCAGGATATTTTGTTCATTGATAATTTGTGGTTAGATGCTGTTTGGATAATTGCAGCTGTAGCTGGAAATGCTTCATTAACTCCCATTAACTAGCTTGAGGAATGAAAGCACATATAGAATTTGTCTTCCTTTTACATCTTTATAGTATAAGTAAAGTTATACTTAACTATTTTTTTTGCATCAGCCACAGTTCTTGAGAAATGAGGTTCTTTCTAACATTTAATCTGAGTAGCTGTTTAGTTCAATATTTGGTGCTGTAAAACCTTCCTAACTTGCATCAAAATATTTTCCTCTAATAGGACATATAATGAATATATTTTAATTTTTTGATCACTTGGAATCATGCAATGGACAATTTTAAGCACAATTTTATTATCTTATTTCTATAGGGAAAGAAACTACAAAAGATTGAAAAAATGCCAAAAACACATTCCAAATTTTTATTCATTAGCTTGTTTAACCAAGTCCAAGACATGGGTTTGTTTTCTTGTTATTTAGTCTTTTCCTTAAAGGTTCATTGGAAATCTACTTCCTTATCCATTATCTATATTTCTACCTATTTTTTCTTTTATCTGGGCTTTTTCCCATTTGGGGTTCTGATGGTTATTTTCCTGTATTTGACTAAATATGCCACTTGTTCGTTGGGAAGTGCAGCCTGTACTGAATTTGCTCGTAACAGTGTGATGTAGATTTCTGAAACACACGTGATGGTCAATAGGATCCAGTCACATACAAACTGGAAGGGGCTTCAGTTGGAGGGTACCTAGGCTGCAGAAGAGGAAGTCACGTGCTGTACAAGTTAGCAGGATGGGGGTAGGCACGGTGAGGAAACGTTTGATGAAACAGCCGATGTGATTCGGTAATTTGCTTTTGGCTTTGGCTATGTCATTGCAGGAAGTTCTGCAGCTTGAGAGACAGATGGGAGGACAGCTCCTAGAAGAACCTAAGGCTCTTCATTTCAAAGGCAGCACCCACAACCTGCGCCTGTCGATTCACGACATCGCCCATTCACTCTGGAAGAGCAAATTGCTAGCTAAATATCAGGTAAGGTTCCCGGGCTGAATGCAAGGCTTCGAGATGCCTCCATGAAAGAGGACTAAATTATTTAGACATAAGATAATGCCTTCCTAGAAGTTCATCTTACATCAGCACTCGTTTCTCCAAAATAGCTTGGGATTATTTAGGATTTTTGAAAAATACTCTACAGACATATTTAAAGGAATGCTTTTTTTCTTCATTTTCAAATAATTGTACTGCCATTGTTTTATTTTTAACAAATCAGATTTCCAAGTTTATCATTTCAATTCATTTTCAGACTGTTTACATCAAATTGATTTTTAAAAGATCAAAATGCATTCACAGGAATCAGAGGAACATTGTTATCCACGTGACACAAATTAGGCTTCAGCCTTGCTAGGAGACTATCTTTCTGTTGAAAACTTAAAAGGAGCCCCAGTTTTGAAACTGAAATAGCATGTAAAAAATAAAACCTGGCCAGGATTTTATTAAATACCAGTTTAAAAATACTGGCCTCAAGCCTCACTAATGTACCTGTGGAAAAAACATAGGGGCCCCCACCACCTTCTTCCTCAGTCAGCCTGAGCTCCCAGAAGACTGTGTGATGGGATCCTTAGCCTCATATCCCGTCCTAGGAAACGCACACACGCTTAGATAAGCTGTGAAGCTTTGTCTGCATGCATGCAAACTCAATCCCACGCCCCAGCACTGTAGCTTGGCTGGTTTTGATTTCCTGATAGAATCAATGAACATACAGGAAGGAAGGTAGGGGAGATTTTCCAGCTCCATTCTTACTCTCATAGGTCTAGTGCTCACACAGACATTATAGAAACAACCCTGCTAACAGGCCAGCCATCTCAAGCTTCCATGGGGGTTGCATGCCAGGCTCTTCTGTATCACTTTGCACTTGATTGAGAGGTCTGGCTCTTAACTTTCTCATGAAATGTTTTCCTTTGCTTTTTTCTACTCCCTGCTTTGCAGCTACCATATAAGTCCACACATCTCCCCCCACCCCCAACCCTCTTATGAACAATTTGCTTTGCTTTGTGCAATCATAATGGAAAATACTATTTTTATAATAATGATAATCCGATATTAGTTCAAGCTAAGCCTGGCTGCATTCTTCTTACCACCCACCAGACACTCATGCACTTCGGTTGATCTCATCTAACCCCAGCCCGTCTATGATTTAGGTACGCCTTTACTTACTCTTTCGCAAATGAGGAAGCTGAGGTATGGAAAGGTTAAGTAACTTGCCCAAATCACCAAGTAGGTGAGGGCAGACTATTCTCATTTGTATTGAATTCTGTGCTCTTAACCACCGCATTCGCCCATTTTTTTTAAATGTATCAATGATTTTCTTTCTTTCCTTTATGGATAAAATATTCTAGGATGGGCTCTGTAAGGTGGTCTAGACTTTTTGAAAATGTATGTCTGTTAGAGGCTTGGTGCTTTTTAGGCCGAGGACATTTCTGCAACAGCTCACCACGTCTGTTGGTTCCAAGTGTAGTGTGTGTTGTAGTCCCCTGTCCTGTGCAGAGGGAGGATTTAGGCATGAAAGGGAACTGGATCATCAAATTAGCCTTTAGAGCTTCTTTGCTTTCCTCCAGAATACCACGGCAGGGATTCTTTTTAATGAGCAACAACTGGAGTGTGTGGGTTTTATTTTGGGGATTTTCTAAACTTAAAAAAAAAATCATTTACAATGGCGTCTCTATTTCTCCCTCTCTCTCTCTCTTTTTTCTTTTTTTGTAAATGAGAGACAGGTGACAGACTGGTTAGGTACAGATCCTGCTGGAGGCTGACTGCTTGGGTTCAAATCTCAACTCTGCCACTTGCTTCCTGTAGGGCTTTGGCTGAGTGATTAAACATCTCTGGGTGTCAGCTTTTTCATCTGAAAGGGAGGGGTCAGGATGCTCTTACGGATATATTTGTTGTGACAACTAAATGAGGTAATATGTGGAATACTGAGAAAAGTACTTGGCAGCCCAGTGTCTGATAGTTACTTTTAGTATTTGTGGTTAACACTTTTATGTCCTTTAGGAAATTCCTTTTTACCACATCTGGAGTGGGTCTCAGAGAAACCTCCACTGCACGTTCACTCTGGAAAGATTTAGCCTGAACACGGTGGAGCTGGTTTGCAAACTCTGTGTGCGACAGGTAGAAGGAGAAGGGCAGATCTTCCAGCTTACCTGCACCGTGTCAGAGGTAAGAAGCTCTTGTCTGTCTCAGAAATCAGGGGAGAGAAGGACCGTGGGGAGGCGAGAGAGTGTGGAGTATAAAGGTATCTCGATATAGGCCATATGGGGGGAGTCCTGAAAAGCTTTCTACAGGTTCCATGCATTAATAGAATAATATTGTTAATGAACACAGGGAGCTAGATGCATAAAAGAATGGGGAATTCTTTCTGAAACACAAGTCTTTTATTTTTGATGACATGAATTTAAGGATCATGTTCCTGCTTTTTACAACAGTTCTGAATCCCAAATAAGAGGTTCAATTTCAGCAGTGTGCAAAAGGAATAACTGTTCCCAAAGCATCCCTTGATGTGCCACATTCCTGCCACCTCCACCTGTCCTCCCTGGTCCCTTCTTTCCTCAGGAAACTTTCCTACCTTTGCCTAATGCTGTGGGGTGGGGGAAGAGAGATCAGCCTCTGACCCACACCTTCTTTTTTCTTCTCTTCCTATTTCTCCTTGCTAAAAGGAGAAATCCTTTGACTCTTTTCTCTCTTACACATCAATATAAGAAGACTGCCAGAGTCAGGGGATGGGGTGTGGGCTATATGGGTGAAGGGGGTCAAAAGGTACAAGCTTCTGGTTATAAAAAAATAAAATAAGTCATGGGGATGTAAGGTATAGCACGGTGACTATCGTTAATAATACTGCATATATGAAAGTTGCTAAGAGAGTAGATCTGAAAAGTCCTCATCACGAGGAAAAAAATTATAACTACATAATGAGGATAGATGTTAACTAGACTTACTGTGGTGATCATTTCACAGTCTACACAACTATTGAGTCATTATGTTGTACACTTGCAACTAACAGAATGTTTTATGTCCATTATGATACCTCAATATAAATAATAATTTAAAAATAAAATTAAAAACAGAAAAGAAAAGGTGCCCTTTTTTCCGGGGGTGGGAAGAAGGTTCCAGAACTAGAAGTAAAATCTGTGAATTTTTCCCCTAGTGGCCATCGCTTTGCCTTTCTCTGCTGTGCTCGTCACTTACTGCAGTCGGGCATTTTTCTACGTCCCTATTACAGAAATAGCAATGAGCCCTGCTGAGTGAAGCCTCTCTGCATGGAAAGAGGGGGTGTGCATGAACTTATCGGTTACCTTGGACCCCAAGGCTGCAGTGTGAACGGTGGAAACCCTTCCCGCTGGAGGAACAAAGGAAACAGAATAAGCCAAATGGTCAGACAGCAGCATCTCCCGGGGCCTGGAGGAGCTCAGGTCCGTGCTGTCTGCTAAGCCACAGAGCACAGAATTGCCGTATTTTAAAACTACAGCGGGACAGCATATGATTTAAAAGATTTCTTTTCTCTCGCGCTGTCTCATGCAAAGTGACAAATGAAATGTCAGGATGTTCAGCATGTCTCCCTCCACATGTTGGATTTAAAGACTGTCTTCCTTAGCAAACCAAGTGGAGGTGGGGGAGCAAAGCATGTCAGCCTCCACGATGCTGCATCCTTCTTTCCCACAGCCCGCGGAGGTTCGGTCATCATTTCCTCCTGTAGTTTCATGAGACTTTTGACTCATAAAACAACTTTAGTCACAGACCCCGGTGACATTCATAAGGAATGATCTCGGTGTCAGGGTGCCATGGCAACCGCCAGGCCTTCCTGAGTCGCAGGCCCTATCTCCCAGGCACACAGCACCACCCCTGCTGGCTCCGGAGGGTGTTTTCACTTTCCAGGCCCAGCAGGTCTGCAAAGTTCAATAACCACCCAGCTCCAGTGACAACAAAGGCTGTGGAATTTTGGAGGGGGCGAGGAGGTCTGCTCCTTTGATGCTTGCTTTCTGTTCAGCGGGAACGTTTGCTGTGTGATGAAAAGGTGGATCAGATGCAGCCTGAGAATGAAAGAAAGCTGTTGAGGGCTCTTCCCTGCTAGGTCCTAGGTCTGCCACCCCCTCACGCAGAAGAGACAGTTTTGCATAGTGTGATCCCAATTTAAGGACTTCCTTTCTTGAACCAACATAGAGGAAAGATGATTTCTCTTGCTTGCAGCTTGGCGGCAGTGAGCTCAGAGAGGCCAGCCTTTCAGTCCTGTCGAAGGCCTTTGCCCATGTGTGACACACAAGCACATTTAACAGAGGGAGGGGCAGAAATGACTGGAGTCAGATGACTTTGGGGATTAAGGGACACTCTGCTGCTTTTACTTCTGGGTCACTGAGTCCCACTGTCGTTGTTAGCATTTGAATGCGGTGCCTGCAGCCCACCGAGGGGGAAAATGTGGGGCTGGGTTCAGAGGTAGGGAGGGAGACTCAGCTCTGAACACAAGGCACTGGAGAGCCCTGAAACCCAGGTCCTCATGAAAAGCTCTGAGAAGGGGTTTACTGTGACTGACAAACCATAACCAAACAGAGAAAAGGCTCCATTTGTGGTGTCTTTCTTCCGCACAGGGCTCCTCCCTAGGGTCACCTGGCAAGCTGGCGGGTGGGCTAGGGTTGCAGTTCCAATGTCCTCTCTTCCAAGAATGAGCTGACTTGCCAGGAATGCACTGCTCCCCCGCCCCCCAGCCACCCACCTCTCAAGGCACTCACCAGCAGTCATTTATAAAGCAACATGGCCCTTGGCCTCTCTAGTCAGGCCGAGGACATGTTGCCCCCCTCAAGGGAGACCAGGCTGTGCTGACATAGACCATGGTGATGTCGAGAACTGGCCAATTGTTCCTCTCTGGGTGCTTTGGCCAGAGATTCCTGAACTAGAAACAAAGCCTTTCATCTCACAGAGATGCAGTTTAAGAATGAAAATGTCTGAAAAGTATGGGCATGAATGCATCTCAAAATATAAATAATAATAACAGGTTTTTTTTAAATTTTTCTTTTTTAGAAGGATGGCGGGAATAATAACGGGGAAGCTACCCACCACCACCAAGAGAAAAAAGGTGTAGAGAGAGACACCTATCGTCTCTTTATAGCCCTTCTATTTAGTTTTAGCTATGGACAAAGTACTTCTAACCCCTATTAACTATTGACACATAACACTTTTGTGTACACAGAGAGTAATATTAAAAATGTATAAAGTAATACTGCTTTGCTATAGCCAGCCCATCTATTGACCTCTTCAGGTTTTTATAATCTGTTCAAAATGACCATTGGGAAAATCGAGTTTTTCTAACTGACTTTAGGAACAGTGGGAATATAGGAGTGGAGAGTTGATTCTACTGTGGAGTGAGGGCTGAAAATGTGTGCCATCACCCATAGCAGCTGTTTGGTTAATGGTGAAAAATCATATGTTTAACTAAGGGACTCATAACATCAAAGACAGATGGTACCTGTATCATAAATGATTATTGTAATAAGCAGCCTGTGAGAGTAACTCTACTTTTACCTGGAAGTAAAAGAAGAACTAATAACTACTGGAATTATTAGATGGAATTTAAATGTAAATGCAGAGATATATTTTTTCTTTTACCTCCAAGACTGTTGTTAGCCATCTGATAAGCTCTACTGAGCTTGCTTGCTTCATCCACACAGAAGTTAGCAGGCTCAGTAGCCAGGGCTGGAGACCCAGGTGAAGTGGTGATGGTCTGGTGATGATCTTTTCCTATATTCATGAGTAAAAGGATGACTACATGGATATGTGAGGCCTCCTTGACAGCCAGGCCTACCTTTCCCTGGTTTTTGTCTTCAGGATTTAGCAGTGAGAAGAGCCATATGTACACTTAGCCACGTTTAGCTGGAAGGAAGCTTAATACACTACTCTGTGGGGTGGGTTTCTGTCAGAAACTGGTGTCTGCCCCTTTTTGTACCAGGAAACATATTTTCTCTCATTTCAAAAAATGTGAATTGAGTAGCTTCCATGTGCAGGTCACTGTGCTGAGTATCACAAGGATTCTGAGGAAGACGAAAATACTCTCATTGCCAAGAAACTAGAGAAATCCAAGGAAGTAACACATAAATATGACCAACATGAATTGGGCAGAATATGAGGACTGCAGAAGAGCTGTGAGAAGTGCTGTGGGAGGTGTTTGGCTTGATGGCTTTGGGTGGATTTGCTCAGGGGCGACTCAGGGGGTATGCTGTTCATCTGCACATTGAGGGGTTTGCTTGACAGAGACAAAGGGGAAGGGCAGAAGGACTGTCAGAGGTAGAGCCTAAGAAACAGGTGATAGAAACCGAGAGTGGTCCTGTCTGAGGAGAGTTTGAGTCATGTCAAGGCAACCTGAGAAAGACTAGGGTCCGATTGTCCAGCGGTGGGGGCACGTGGATATGGGGCCCCTACTCCATGTCACCTGTGGGATTTAATACCAGCTGACGAGGCAGATGGTACAGGTATCCCTCAATGCCTGATTAAAAGGTAGCGTTCCCATTGGTAGGAGGGGCATTTAGTGCTTTTTAATAAGAGAGTGGGGTAGGAGGGAGCAGAGAGAAACATCAGCTTGGTGATTTGGGAAGATCAGTGTGGTAGCCAGATAGATCACAGGTATGCAGGAGGGAGTTCCTGTGTCCAACAAGAAGAAGAATATCTGGGGACAGCACTACATAAAGCAGACCCCTCCCTGTATGAACTTAGCCTCCACTGCCAGCAAGAGACAATCCGGGTGGGGTTGTATTTGGGGGATATGGTGGTTTTTCTTCTGGGCCCTATTGTTATTGTCCAGACAAGAAGTCAACAGGACCTGAGCATTGGCGATGGTGTTAAATTGTGGAAATGCCATGTGATTTCTCTTCACCTCCGCCTCCCAACCCATTTATACATCGCTTTATGCCTAATGTAAGTGTTAGGCACTTGGGTTCAGACATCACCAACATAAATCTGTTGATAAATAGTGACAGGTACTCTCTGTTGACTCTCCTGGTCTCCTTTGTTGAAGCCCTATTGCCCTTGAGGTCAGGAACACTCTCTCCTCACGGTCCCATGGAAGGAACTCTGTGCCCCTTGCAAGGAAAGATCTTCTGGTCGTGTCCTCATTCAGGGACTCCAACTCCCATTGTTGCTTCTGTGTTTTATACCAGTCTTTTACATCCTGGCATGTG